AGCGAGTAAATCCATGTAAAATGAAAGAAAAGCCTTTGCACACATCCTCTAAACTCGTGCACTGGTGTTGGGGGTGAAGGATTCTGGAAACTCACAGGTTAGTTGAGCCACCGCCAATCCACTCCCATTTCCCATCGTATTTATTACGTCTTAATCCAATCCAGTATTTCTTTTGATAAATTATAAGCTTAAGTAAATTCTGTAAAGGAAGCAACACATCTTGTGATAAAATTGTCATCAGTTTGGTAAGAGAACAACCAAGAAAGTCCCAGCTGTTCCCTGCTGTCCTGTCCTCCAGCCCTTCAGTCCCTTCATGTTCACGTTCTAAAGTGATTTCCCACTAGTAGCTCATTTTTGTCGAAGCCAGTGTCAGTTACATCAGGTATTTAAAATTAAAACATCAGATGTCTATTGATTCTTGGTTAATTAACTGATTTGTGTTTCTTAGACAAAGTCTCACTGTATAGCTAAGGCTGGCCTTGAACTCACAATCTTCCTACCTCAGGAACCCAAGGGCACACTACACACTGGCTCATTAAATAATTTCTGACACTGTATAAAATTACTCAAATGATTTTTCCTGAGGACTACAGAAGCCTGTGATAAGTGTTCATCATAAGTGACTTCCTGACTTCAAAGCAAATCCACTAAGATGAAAGAGTTTCATCCTGTGTGAAAAGCTGTGGATTAAGCTCCACTCTTCAGAGAAGAAAGCTTCCTGTACTTCAGAACTGCACATGACAGAACTTGAGGAAGAAATGGGGAGACATTTGGAGGTAGTTACTGTGTCTTACATGAGACAGCCAAGCAGCATGGTATCTCATTAAATTTCAGAATGTTTTCTAGACACAAGATTAAACTTAATGCTGTGTACTGTATCATCCAATGGAAAACTATATCATTAGCTAACATTAAAAATTATTTTATGTTGTAATTATTTAAAAATGTATTAAATTGATATATAAATTTTGTACCACGCTCTAAATGACAGAGGTTTCAAAGTCATCCTCCAAGCATTTCTCTAGAAAAATATAATCTACAAATTCGGGGAGAGATTTCATTAGTAATAAATGTACAAAGACAGTATCAGTATCTTGGCCACTTTGTTATCTTTTAAATAATTATTTCTGAATGTATATATCTATTATGATACAAAGAATACTTGAAGTAAACACTGTGGACAGATTCAGTGAAATCTCTCCATGAGTTCACTGGTATAACTGTGTAGTTTCACGGTTCTCACAACATTCCTGATAGGTTCTCACAACATTGCAGATAGGTTCAAAGTATATTACTTTGCCTGTTGCCATCCAATTATTCATCTCAAGAGGTCCCATTACTGGGTTCCAACAGCAAGCCCTACACAGACGCCTCTGGTATCCTATAAAAATAAATAACTGTCACACACAGTATGTGCTGTGCCAAATGGTTAGACTTCATCAGAGAAAGATATGCTTCTTGGAGGAACTCTCTTGCAGACTCCTGAGAAAGGGAGGACACTGCAAGACCCAACTGTCTCTTTAGTGACAAGTGTTTTCATAACAGACTCATGGCATTAAATGGGAGGCAGGAATGAGTCGACAAAGAAACTCTTACTGCATGATTTTTGCTCACATTACAGAAAAACAACATACAACCCCTGAAGGACTCTCTTTTTCAAAACACCTGGCTGAGCTCATATCTCATTATCTAAGGGTTAGAGAGGGAGTCTAAGAATAGAGAAGCATATGAGAGTCCTGGTACCAGTTCAACAGCATCATCTATCTTCAAAAGGGATAAGCTGCAATCCTGTTTACATCCCATCCAGTGATTATCGTTCATGATGAGATAACATTTTATGCCATAGCAAAAACAGCATCCTTCAACACATTTGCCTACAACAGAGAAGGTGAATGGTTAAAATTATTATTTTCTGGTATTCTGTTATCGGATAATTCTGTTATTTATTAAACATCTGTAACTAAGTAAACTCTCACAGCTCTCATAAACTGAGAGTCTAGAATGCCAAGAGACCCCTCCGCAACCCATGCTCTATGTAGCACTGTTTATCACAGTAGAGATATGGAAACAACTTGAGTGTCTTTTGAGGATGAAGCATAGAAAATGTGGCACATACAGACAAAGGAATACTATTTAGCCTTTAAAAGGAAAAATCCTGCCAGACATGATGTTTTATGGCTGTAACTCCAGCACTCCACAGAGTGAGTCACAAGGATCACCAAGAGGGTGAGACCATCCTACCCTGAGTTGTGAATTTTGGGACAGCCTGGGCTCTACACTGATTTCCAAGTCAGCCTGGGCTACAGAATGAAACAATGTCTCACATCCAAACCCCAAAAAGAGAGATCCTGACATATTTGAACAATTGTACAGAAAGAGTCTCCCAGGAGGCTCCTGCCTGCTATTCATCTAGTATGAGGACACGTGTCTGTTATGAGGAAACTCATTACTAATGAAATAATAGCGCGGTCACTGCAAACTCTCCCCTTCTCAGGAGTATGCAAGAATGTCCCTTAGAGGACCATGGATGAACTGAAGAAAAGTGTGAGGAGTGAAACACACCAGGGCTGTCCTTTATGACTCCGCCCAGATGGGGTTTCTAACAGAGCCCAAGGCTAAGAAGAACCTTGTGAGATCCCTGGAGGTTGGGGAACAAGCACTAGCTCCTCAGAGGCAGTTCTATGAAGGACAGAATTACAGATCTGCAGTAACTCACTGTGCCCACAGGGGCCCATAAGCTACTGTGCACTTGGAGTGTGCTGTGTGCTCTGCCAGATGCTCTGACCTTAAGAAGTAAATGAAGGTTTTGAAGGTAATTGTCTGTTTTGATGTGGTGATGCCTTCAAGGGTATGCCCACTTGCCCAAAGGTGTCAGGCTGAATGTGTTAACACGAGTGTAGTTTATGTAGCAACATCATCTCAACAGGATCATTTTGTTGGTGAGGGGCTGGGGATGGCCAGAGTCTGTTAGTGGACTTATCTTCACCCTTCTTTTTGTGAAAAGGCATCACTGTGTAGCTCAGCCTGGCCTGGAATTTGCTGGCAACCTAGACTGTCCTCAAATTTAGAATTCTCCTGAATCATCTTCCTAAACACAAACATTACAGAGTTATGCTATCATTTAATGATGATACATATTTTATTCTAGTAACAACACATTTGATGAGTCTGGAATTCTTCAAGGATCCTTTGTGGAGATTTTTCTTTTTCTTTTCCTGATATTATCATTGATTGCTTAATAAAGACTGTTAACCTCTATTATTACGACATAGTGAGATCATCTGTAAAATATCTTCGTGAATACTAAATCATGAACAAATATTTAATAATGAGTGGCGAATTGTCTCAACTAAAGATGACTAGGTGTGCTATAAGGTATAAAAGATTCCTTGTAACACTTGACATTTTCATCTTTTTGGCATCATTAACGGTGTCACTAATTGGCAGCATGGTGAAGCCACCATGTGCCCTGGAGGAAGAATATCTTGGTCGCAAACAGGCCATCTGTTTGAAAACAATGTATAAGGAAAACACACACACTTAGATTTATGATTGCATCCATATACATTCTGAGTCCATTTGACCCTAAATGTTTGGTAACTACAATCTTACTGGAAATTTCCGTTTTCTATTAGCAACTTGGATTTGTTCATGAATTAAAACAACCTGAATTCTCATGGATGCTAAGTTGTGATTTCATCCCCTGAGAGCAGCAGGAGCCAGAATGGCCACTGAGTTCTAGAAACTATAAGATTTTCCTATTCCAAGCATGAGTTTCTGGGGTCCCAGGCCTCTACATGAGATAAAGAAACCCCAAGCCACCCCAAACTAAGATCACTAGCATCATAAGCTGCTAACTGGACTTCAAAGCTTCCAGAAAAGAAACAATACAGAATAACAAAATTATTTAACAAAATTATTAATAACAAAATTATGTATTCATGATCCCCTTCATACCTGTGGGTTGTGAGCAATTTAAAATGATCTTGCTTTCCTTGTGGCATCTGTTCAGTTGTAGGTTGAGAGATTCCAGTTGACCTCTGAGGTTATCAATCTCTGTAGACTTATTTCTTGATATGTCTTCCTTTAAGGAGATGTTACTTTTTAATGCTTGGTTCTCTAAAACTAAAATTAATAGCAGATACATAACACCAAAAATGTTCATAAACGGTCAATAGTGAAATTTAAGTTTAGAGAGAAAACTCATGTTGACAACCAACACATATCATGAGTTTAATTGCTACTTTGACATTTGGAAAGTAACACTTTAATTAACTCAATATAGAAATGGAAACATGAATTTCTCTCTATCTATAACTTCAATGTAAATTATATGATACAGCTGAGTAATATTATGGTGAAAGTACTATATCTTCTAACTACATTTTTTCACAGCCTACAACTTACAAATACATACCTAAGTAAAATATTCAGTGAACACTTTATACTAAAAATATGAAAATAAGAGACAGAAAGAAACTGAACAATACAAAATGGACCAGATGGAAAGCATAATATCCAGATACACAGACGGGGGTGATTTCCCCTAAAGATGTGAAGGAATCAAATATTGTTAAAGCGTTAATGTCTCCATAAGTAGACAGATATAGTCTATTTACTTAACCATGTCCTCAATACACACCGAGGAAACATAGAAAAAGGTCCTCGTATCTTTTGCACAGCTGTCCTCACAGAATGTTTACCTAAGATTCACAATCACCTGAGCTCAGACGGCAGACTATCACCAAGTCCCCAAAAGGAACACAACCACCAAGGAGACAGACCAGGGCAGCAGCCCCAGATTTAAAATATTAGGTCTATCAGAGAACAGGACACTGCAGTCTATCAGGGGTAAAAACAGCCAAACACATGAAGGACAGATTATCTGGCAAATCTCTGATGATAGGCAGGACAAGGGACAGAGTGTGTTAACTGCGTAATTAGAGTCTAAAGTCATTACTTAGGCAGAAAGGCACAGGAGACAGATCTCAGTTACTCACTGTGTGTCACCAGCACTGCGACAGTTACCAGCAGAAGGGAACAAAAGATTCCGAGAGGTATCACAATGAGCTTCCAGGGGACTGAACACTCTTCAGTCAACAAAACAAAGCAAGAAAATCATCACCATGAAAAGAGCAAGTCCAAACATTAATTATAATTTTGTGTAGGATGGAAACAAGGGGACATTGGTCTAAATTTTTTATAAAAGTGCATCATTCAAACTGACTGAAAATGAGCTTTCAAAACTGTAGCTTTCTGCCTAATGTGCCCCCACTGTAGAAATCCTACATCTGTGATGTGTCACAGGAATTTAAATGGTTTTCACCTTTGGCCTTGCATTTTCAATTCTCCCAATTCAGCCTACACATAGCTAGAAGACAGGCATGTGCCCCCACCCAGCTCTGCCGGATCACTGGAGAGACAGTTTTCATTTCCTTTCTACAAAATCTGTTGTTTTCTCAGACTCTAGTTTGTCTGTTAATTTTTAAACCTTTAAGTTTTCAAAATTCTTGACTAGACAAAAAACAAACAAAGAAAAAACTCTTAAGTTTTCTCAAATTTGAGCGAATAGATTCACATCTAGCTTCTCCATTCTCAAGAGCTTTTATCTTAGTCTCCCACCGCCCATCTAGCTTTCTTTTGGTACCAGCTAGTAACTAGAAACAGGGTTACTGGTTTCAGTAGGAGCCGGTGGGATATTGTTTTCAAAAGTCAGAAGTTACAATGAACAAAAACAGGTGAATTTAGGCACTTCAAAACTTACTTCTGTAGCCAGCTTCTCTGGATCCTTGAGTCTCATCATGTCTCACTCGGTTCTGCAACCCTGAAGACTTATGAAATCTCACAGTTGTGTAAGTGATGTCCTGGTCACTCATCTTTCTGGTGTGTGAAGTATGTTCTTGTTAAACCCGACCTTGAGTGATTTCTAAAGAAAAAGTTAAAATGCCCTTGGATCTGATGTTGCAGTGAGGTGGGAAAGGGTGGGGTCTGATTAACTCCATTAAGGATCCAAACTCCCTAACATGGACTGACCCTGATTTCCACCACACATGAAAACTCTTTGCAGATTTCTTTTAAATTCATTTATACTTCTAATGATCATAACAATTGTTACTAAGAAGTATGGACAAATTTTTTTAAAAATACTAAGTCATTGTAATAGTGACATGAACTGTTTGTTCAAAATACTCTACATACATTTTAAAAAGTTAGGCAAAATTGCTATAACCACAAATCATTAAAACACTGTTAAAAGTATCAACTCAAATAATAAAATGCAAAGATTTCTGAATAAATAACATTTTTTGCTTTAAAATTATTTATACATTTTGATAAACACATTAAGAAAAAAATGTTCTTGCAGTCTTTTTGGTTATTAATGTCTATCTGAGTTTCCCAGGCACCACCTTTGGGATAATATTTGAATGTTAATATAGCAAATGATTAAAATTTGGGGCTCCAAGTATATAAATATTTCTCACGTTGAAGCTCAAACTCCTGAGATGTGCAACCTCTCCACCTAGCCACATCCTACACATTCTTCTCCTGGGTTAGGCCTGGTAAAAAGAACTAGGAAAGATGCTACTGGGTGAGATAACCCAGAAAGACAAGTCTGTGTGATTTCCTGAATCTAAGACGTCTGGCTCCAAGTTTTTAAACATTCAACCTAACCTGGAATAACTGAAGAAACGAGGTGAGTGGAAAGATCATGGCAGGACTGTAGTGTAAGAGCAACAGAGGAAAATCGTAGAATACAACCTGAAATTTAATCCCAAATTATTTCATGTCCACAATCATTTCACATATGATATTCTAGTAAAAGGTGTTGCCAGAGGAGCCCATATGAAAATAAATTTTGTCACTATGTCATTGCTAATGCCCATAAGGATCCAATCTGATAATATAAATATATTATTAAATAGTAAATATTTAAATATTGCATATAAAAAATTAATCTTGACCCTTACATTAATAACTGGGATAATACCCAACAGATACAGAAAACAAACTGTACATAGATTGATTCTTCTCTAGTTTTTTAATGGAGTTTTCTGAATTTATTCACATTTTCACCATTCTTTTTGGCTTGTTGTTCGTTTGTTTTCAAGACAGGGTTTCTTTGTATAGCCCTTGGCTGTCCTGTAACTAGCTCTGTAGGTCAAGCTGACCTCACGGAGGTCTACCTGCCCCTGCCTTCTGAGGCTGAGATTAAAGCTGTATGCCACAACTGCCAGCCAAGATCGCTTAGGAAAAGGGAATCTTCCCAGTACAGTATTATTTTTAAACTGTTATTTGTTATCGTTGTTGATGGAGTATTGCATGCGCCATGGCACATGTGTGTCCAGAGGATAACTTTACATGGTGAGCTCTCTCATTCCACCTTGAAGTGGGTTTCAGGGGTAAGGCTCAGTTGGTCAGGTTTGTGTAGCAAGCACTTTACACACTCAGCCTCTTACCTGCCTCCTATCACAACTTCTTCGGGATGGATAACACACAAACAGATGACCCAGATAAAGATCAGTGAACTCCATAGACTTTATTTCTCAGCACACAGCAAAAGGAGGTGACCTTCACATCTGCATCACTATCTGAGATTGCAGCCAACAGAAAATATGGAGAACATGCTGCATATGGGATTATCCTTCTCTAGTTTTTGTTAGTTAATGACATTTTCTGAAACTATTCACATTTTCTCTAATTTTTTTTTTTTTATTACTTTGTTGCTTGGTGCCAACGGGTGTCCAGAGGACAGCTGTTCCGAGTGAGTTCTCTCATTTTACTCTCATTTTGTTGTTGTTTTTAAGACAGGGTTTCTCTGTGTAGCCCTGGCTGTCCTGGACTCACTTTGAAAACCTGGCTAGCCTCGAACTCACAGAGATCTGCCCGACCCTGCCTCCCTTGCCTCCCTGAGTGCTGGGATTACAGGCATGCACCACTTCACCCGGCTTCATTCCACCTTTATGCGGGTTCCAGGGATAAAACTCAGGTGGACAGGCTTGTGAAGCAAGTATCTTTACACACTGAGCCATCTGACCTGGCTTTTATTATGACTTCTTCAAGATGGATAATATACAAACATATGATCCAGTTAAAGAGCAGTGAACTCCAGAGATCCCGCTACCTTAATTTCTTAACACACAGCAGAAGTCACGGCACACTCAAAAAGAAAATAACCAGTGCCCGATGCCAGTTTTCACACGCTGCCAGTTAACCAGATCTAACACAGCCAACAAGGCTTTCCCACCCATCCTGCTCTCCTGTCACACCATCTGAAATTCTCTAGCGTACACATACGATCATGTAGTAGAAACACAATAAAAGCAGCTGTTACCTCGTCTGGACCAAGGAAGTGATTCTGATGGAGGGAACCAATCTTCCAACGGGAGGACAAGCTGCCCTGTCCTGGCCTGTATCCCCTAAGAGGCTCCACCAGGAAAGGCAGAAACGAATCTCCTCTGAGTAACACTCAGGCTTGTGATTGTGTGCCCCTCCTCTTGACCAAAACAAGAAGAGGAAATTGTATGATGAAAGCTGCAGCAGACAGAAAGCAAGGAACCAAAATATCATGCCAGATGCTGCAAAAATGTCCACGATCAATATTTGAAGGCCAAAAAGATAGACACACCTTTGGAGAAAACAAAACCAGCGTCCTCAGCAAAACCACTAGTAAAAAGAAGGGACTGACTTTTCCTGTGCTCCTAATTTTGTAATGAAATGTAGGAAATTTTCTGTTACTATTTGAAATTTTGCCTTGTTTTTTGATTATTCTTATTATACCTAAGCATGTTTATACCTTTGAAATAATCACATTTATTCTCTGAAACTTTTGATATGTACTCTTCCAGCTTTTTCTTCCTAGAGAATGTTTACCGTGAATGTTGATGTCATTCCTTATGAAGTGGTCTTATTGCTCTTTTTTTTATGATGCTGGGATATCTAATCTAAGACACTGAGCATGCTCAGCAAACACTCTTCTATTGACCTACACTTACAGCTTTGTTTTCGTTTGGTTTGGTTTGGTTTGGTTTGGTTTGGTTTGGTTTGGTTTGGTTGAAGTTTGGGGTTTTCCTTTTTTTTTTTTTAATGAGACAATTGTTAGATCATACATACTATGTAGCTCAGACTGCCCTCAAACTCACATTGTGCTTGACTCAGTCTCTTAAGTGCTGAAATTACAGCTGTATACCCCCACACCAATTTACACCATAATTCTGATTGATCTTTTATAATAAATAAATATTTCTACATTTTATAAATATTGATCAATAGAATGTTTAAGGCATATACAGTTATTAATTGTTTCTATATGACATAAATTAAGCAATTAGGTTATGCCCTATGCTGAACATTTAAATTGTTAACACTTTTTCATTGTTAATTTGAAAACTATACGGAATATACTTCAGAACACACTTAGACATTTTATGCATGAAGTCTTGAATCAAAGAGATACATATTTAAGGAACTCTGATATAGACTAGTACATGACCTCCAGTTCATTTATAATCTACCAGTTGGATGTGAAAATATTCACAATCGATTTGTTTTAGAGATAAGGTGGATTTTTCTTCTATGAGTTTTGCCCATGGGTTTCTGTGAGAATTCCTGGAAAGAAGCTATGTCAGCAAAGACCAATTTACTGATTAAAACTACTGTGAAGTGGAGAAGTTGGAATGCTGTAGGTGCAGAGACTAATTACCTTACCACAGGCTAGCTCTGGCCCCCTAATTAGCCATTCCTTGCCCACTGTGTCAGAACTAACATCCTGTGACTCACAGAAAAAGTTCATAGAATCTGTGAACTTATCAGACCATTACTTCCACCAACCTGAAGGCTAAGAATGTCATCTGATGACTATAGAAAAGCCGCCTCTCCTTGCTGTACCCACTTCTCTGATGTACCCACCAACATATGTTGAATTTTCCTTGATTTATAACTTTCTCAGGTCTGTAAAACTACAACACTTCATGAACCTGCATCCTCATTCGAACAAAGGGCCATCGTGACTCAACATGGGTCCAGCATAAACTATCTCTTACTCCCTTTAAGACAGTGGTTCTCAATCTTCCTGATGCTGTGACCCTTTAATACAGTTCCTCGTGTTGTGGTGACCCCAACCATGAAATCATTTGATTGCTACTTCATAACTGTAATTTTGCTAATATTATGAATCACAATGTAAATATCTGATATGCAGGATATCTCATATCTGACCCCTTGTAAAGGGTCATTCAACCCTTAAGGGGGTTATGACCCACTGATTGAGGACCAGTGCTTTAAGATAAAAGCTCTTTTTTTCATCAACAGGTTTTTATTTAATACTCTTGCTGTGCACATTGCTGGTGAAGCCTCACATTCTAACACTGAACGCAGAAAACTTCAGACACTTCATCTGGACTGGGGGTATGGTTCAATAATGATCCCCAAACCCACAATAAAATAATAATAATTAGTAGTGTTCTCATTATTTTAATTATAACATAAAATAATGTAATATGATATGATATAATCATAATAATTATAATAGAGAAAGGAGGGAAAGGAAGACTATTTGATTTCTGTGGCCAGAATACATTCAAATCTCTCATTAACTTTATGTTCATTTGATTGAGGCTTTTCCAACTTGCTGGCTTATTTTAGGTGAAGCTACTTTAACTTGCTCTTCAAGTCAAGTGACAGAGGTTAATGGAGCACAGGACAAAGGGGGCTGAGGAACAGATGATGCAGAGACAGTCCTGACACCCACCTGACGAGACTGGAGGTGACCTCACTGCATCTCTGCTCTTTTATCAACTTCTAGCCAACCTTTGCTTTTCTTTCTTCTTATAGTTTATCGTTTACAATTTATTCACCTTTTATCCTGATTGTAGCCTCC